GTGCATGGAGGTCTGTAGGTGCCTGGAGACGAAGTGGGCAGTGATGAAGACAGCGGCCATAGCTGGCCCGTGGGGTAGATGTCGGCGGCCATAGCCAGCAGGAGGAAGACGTCGACGGCCATAGCCGCCCAGCTGTTGGTAAAGACAAGTGTTCAGAGTGTGTGAGGCTGTGCTGAGTGGGGACATTCAGGGTGATCCTTGTATGTGCACGCATGAGACAGTGAGGGAGAGAGTGAGGCTGGTGGTAGAGACCGTGTTCGGCGGCCATAGCCGCAAGTTGTGCAGCTGTTAAGATTGAGTTTAAGACAAGTTCATTGTTGTTGTTTTTTGAGTTGAAAGAGTTCAGTCTTGCCATCGGTTCTCAAGTGTGCATGTTGTGAGCAAGTCCAGAGTTGAGTCTGATTGCAGCCGAGCTGCGCTGTATGATGCTGGATGGGGCGCATGGTGGTCCTGGGGTGCAAGTGGCATCTGTCAGTGGGGATCGAGGTTGTGAGTGATACAAGAGACATACCTGGTGCTTGAGGCGAACGGCATTGGTTGAGATCTGCTCGTAGTTCGGGGAGCTGTTGACGTCACCAGCGGCATTGTAGATAGGCTAGATAGGATCTGCCATTTGTAGTCTGGGCGCATAGCGCCAGATAGGATCTCGACATGGGTTCTTTGTTGATGATCATGAGACTATTCCAACATTATCCCTTCTGAGCTTTTGCTGTGCTCTTGTTTGGTGGAACTTGTGTTGCAATTCTGCTTTTGGTTCGAGGTCACGACTATCTGGTCTCATGTGTATAATGCTGCTTGGTTTCTGAAGTTCGCTATTGCTCATTTGAGTCATTTTCCTTGCACAGAGCTTTGTTTCCCTTTCTTTGTTTTCTTGTTTTGTGAGTTTCACGCCCGCAACTTTTCTTCTTCTTCTTTTGTTTTGTGTTCTTCCCGTGAGAGGACCCAGGCTCGGCAAAACTCAGAGCGCAGTGAAATTCAGGGTCAGCAAAAACATTCTCGGAGGTACTAGACTTGTTCTCAAACACACTTTTCATGCATGTAAACAGCAACGCAGCATACTGGCGACATACGCCCACTCAAAAATCAGATATATGGCTTTCAGATACGAGTTCACTCTCAATTGGCTATGGGGACTTCAGCGCCCAAACATCTCACTGTTCACATACACTGGATCACCCTGGATATCCCACACGCATCACTCTAACACTCGAACACACACACACACTCACTACTAACTACGGCTATGGCAGCTGTCGCTGCATCTACCCTATCGCTATGCTAACTCCCACTCTCTTGCCCACTGCGACCTCCGGGCTCATCTGCAGACCTCCTTGCACAAGTCGCTGTGGCAGCGCTTCCGCATGGCTCACGCAGGAATGAATGAATGGCTGGGCGCTGCCTCTTGATTTATACTTTAGAAATTCGTTGGTCTGCCCTTTGCCATCGGCCCTTGGTGCTCACAGTCCCCCTGTGGTACTTGCTGGACTGGACTGGGACTCTCTAGACCCTTCTGCTGACTGTAGGGAGTGGTACCGTCGACTCAGTGCAGTTGCACTGAGGTCCTACCTGTTGACCTTGCCACTTGTCTTCGTCTGAAAACGTGGGCCTACCTTAGACTCACCACTTGCCCACCTTCTAGAAGGACTAAAGCTAGGCCTCTGGACTCTACTTGGACTCCTACCTTACAGGTCTACAGTTCGAATCTC